GCCTGAAACTTGAAGATCTTTAGCCTCCAAGTGCTGAGTGACAGGTATATACTCCCATGCCCAAATGTTATATATCACTTTTAATAAAGACCAGCCAATGGCTAATATGTTAGTTATTGCTTATTAAATATTATTTGACAGATGTTTTTATAAACACTTTCAATTCCAATAATTATTATCAGCCCATTTTGCCTGTGAGGAAATGGAGCCAGAGTAACTATGGTTTACTCAGCAAAGGCCAAGCTTTACTTCAAACTAGCAATTGTATTCTCCAGCTGGGTATGCTCTGCCGCCTTAGTGTCATTTTTCCCTCTCCCTGGCATGGTGTGATGCTGAGATAGCTCTCCTGAGGGAGCTCCTCTGACTCTCCTGGGTGTGGCTCATCAGGTATACTGTGTCCCATGACTGTATAGAGAGAAGCCATCTGTTAAGGAGGGCCTTCCCTCCCACAGACTATATACATATGTTAGGAACCATTTTGTTGACTTCTCAGTCTGAAATAGGATGAGTGTGAGTGCTGTCTCAGGAGACTTTTCCTGATGCCACCAGCCTCATTTCTATGAAATGATACCTGTGCTCTTTTAGGATTGAATGCATTTATAAACATTTTTAACAAATTAAAATAATACTTGTCACATTGTAAATGTTCAATAAACAGTAGTTGCTGCTGTTATTTGGGATTGTTAAATGGTGAGCAATATACATTATACAAATTTAAAAACTCTTTTTTTAACTCTCACTGAATTTCCCTTCAGTGCGACAGTGATTTTCTATTGTCTACTGCCCCCCCCCCCAATCATGGAGTTATGCTGCTTCTGAATTTTACTCTCTCAAAAGGAAAACTTTGAACACTGAGCCCAGAATCTGTCCTTCAGGGAGGTTTTGATGCCTAGATTGAAGGCTACTTGCTGACAGTGTCCCTAAATGCTGCCACCAAGCAGCTAATCACACATTTAATGCCCCCGTGCTGCTGTGGCTGTTGAGATGCATTCCATCCATCCATCCTCCTAGTAAATACTCTTTGTGGAAGCCAGAGCAGACCTCTTCCTTTGGGGTGATGACTTGGGTCAAGACAGACACCGGCAGTACTAGGAAGCACCTTTCCCTGTTTGCCACCCCCAGTGCCAGGTACCCAGCCTCCATTGTGACAATTCTGAAGGGAAGGGACCTCCTCTGGGGGGCAGGGAGAATGACACTGAAGTGCTTGTATATCACAGCCTTTTGCTCACAGGGCATTTTACTTGCAGCCTGTGTGTGTTCCTTCCCAATTCTCAATTGGTGTCCTGCCCTGTCCCTGTACTTTTTTGTTTTTGTTTGCTTTTGAATGAGAACCTGTCCTGTTTCCTGTGTTTCTCCATCATCTTTGGTTTACTGCTTAGAAAAGCACTCATCGTCTGGGACTAATGCTAGTGTTAGAATTCTGTGATAAGTCTGAAGCAGTCACATAAGTTTATAATCCCAGCACTTCAGAGGTTGAAGTAGGAATGTCTCAAGTTTAGTGCAGTCTAGGCTACATTGCCAGACTATGTCTTAAGCTCTCTCCCCTCCCCCAAAGGCCTCTTTGGTTGTATGGCTTTTCACCGGCACAGAATTGAGCTCCTGGAGTGAGTAATCTCTTTTTAGATGTCCATGTGTTCTTCAGTGGTTAGCAGACTTAACAGGACCCAACCTTAAATTGACTGAAACACTTCTGACAGCATTTAGTCAGCTCTGTGATGTCGAGTTTCATCTTTACCTACCCACGACAGCCCACAGAGGTGCGGGAGGGTAGGCGTCTCTGCTCAGTGTGTTCAGGATGCACTGTCCTAAGCCCAGATGGATAGGTCTATGAGTGACCTACCTGTCCATCCTGGCTAGATACCCCACACAAGTCCCAGCCTAGCAACATGGTTTGCCCATGAGCCCATTGTCTCCTCAGTCTCAAACCCGATGCCCTCTGTGGAATAAGAGCATCTTTCAAAGATATATTGCAGTAGACATTTTAGAAAGCCCATAAAAAATGCAAAATGTAAAGAAATGAGGCATAAAATCCAGACTGTTTGGAAGTGAAGCTGAGAAGTGTGGTAGCGGATCACCATTTCTGTTTATTAGATGGGAGCCCAACTTAAAAGCCACACCTAGCTGGGTGCTAAAACACTTGCTCCTGCACTGTACCTTCAGAACACCATGCGCATGTGTCCCTCAGAACCCTCCCCCCTCCCTTGCAGGTCTCCACACCAAATAAGACCCAAGCTTTACATTTGTCAGGAGGTAAAGAGATGGAATGTAGACCTAACAGGAGGAAACTGACTAGATCGGGCTATGTGTGTCCGCAGGGCAGAGCCACCTTCTCCTTTTAATGTGCACGCTTTTACAAAAATGGAACCCCAGAGTAAGATAGCACACACTCGTGGATGCACATTCCAAGTACTGCTTTGCCCCTTCCCTTCACTGTTGTTTTCATTTTCCTCCCATGAACCTTGCTACCCTGGCTTCAGCTTGGAGGCTGTAAAGGAAGATGGAGAGCCGAGTTACCTCAGAATGATCACTATCGTTAACATTCACGGGTGGTTCACTTATCATTCCTGACTGCACAGACATGGCAGCCGCGCGGAAGCGTCCGCAGGTGTAGCATGGTGATACATATTACATTGTGCCACAATGGATTTATGTATTCTGTAACAAAAGAAAAGTGTAATGAAAAAATACAGAAGGTAATCCTTTATTCTTCCGCTACACAATTTATCAGTAAGGTCTGTAGATGGGAAGTGCCAGGGATTTCCTCTGCTTGCTTTAACCTTGGCACCCAGGTATGTTTTAGTAAAATGACAGAAAAATACAGGCTGGGGGTTTTCCTTTGCTTCAAACCTTGTTAAAAGGACACTTTGAATTTATGAAAGTGAGTTCAGATACGAAACTGCCTGTTAGGCTTTTACTCTGAAAAGTTGAGTAGTGCCTTGGAATGATGCTTTCAGCTGGCCGCAGAGCGGGAGCCAGCATAGCAGTTTATGAGCAGCAGAGTCTACTGTCCTTCAGGGTCTGTGAGGCCAGGGCCAGCACTAGTTTGCAAATTCCTGAGAATTTGTATTTCCTTTTGGCCCTACTCATTCATCGCCCAACATATTGTCACAGATGGAGGACATACTGACTTCTGAGGAGAAAGCTGGGAAGGCAGATCTGAGTGTGGTTGATTGGCATTTGTTCCAAATACACACTGGCTAAGTGCCAGAGCAAACACCCGCAAGTTTTTAAATGCACAAACAAGGCTCTTTACATATCAGTACTCTTGCCAAAATATCACTTACGGCATCACTCCCAAAATAGAGGTCTTTTTTTTTTTTTTAAAAAAAAGAGCTATTTCTTATTTTGCTTTGATCAGTAAAATAAACTTTTAAAGATTGTTCTGGGATGGGGTCCAGCTTCTGAAGTAAAGAATGGCTAGGGCGCAGGCATGATTCAGTAACAGAGTGTTCAGTAGAATTAGCGTGACAGTTCTCAGGCCTGCTGCTCAACAGCAAGAACTTCACCAAGTTAAAATGGATGCTTCCACTGGCCAGAGCAGCAGCAGCTTTGTGCTTTTTGACAAACGCAACATCAAGGATTAAAAAGTACACTATATGGAGACAAGCACTGTGGAGAGGTCTCTGTGTTAGGGAAACAAATTGGGTCCTTGGTTTTGAGATCAGCCCATAGCTCCTGTAGAGAACCAGCCTCCTGATGGATCCAACCTAAACTTCAGGCCCTTTCCCAGCCTAATCTACCACTGGGAGGCTTTCCCAGGGCTTGGCTTTTCTTTCAGATTTGTTAGTTCTAAGTTCTGCCATGGTTTTTGGCCATGTTTCCCTTTGAGATTCTTATGGGGAAATGGGAATGTGACCAAACTCCTTGTAGCAATTTCATGTTCCGTAGTTGGAAACTTGGGTCCCATTTTTTTTTTTTTCACAAGATGCTTGGAATTAGCCTGTTTTGTTCCAGTGCCCTAGTGTAGGGGTAGTTCTTGTGATGCTTGCCACTGCAACTAACAGTCTCTTTATAATTACATCTCATGCAGGTGATGGCCTATGGGTTTTTGTTTTTTGTTCATTTAGCATCTTTGTTGTTTGTTTACTTGCTTTTTTTTCTTTTTCAATCTAGATGAACCTTCTCCAACCTAATTTGACTAGAAGCTTGCAAGTAGTGTTAGAGTTTTGTCTTTCACTTTTTACTTAAACTAATATTTAGCTTAATATTTTTATATTTTAGTTTTAATATTTAATAATATTTTTTACTTAAACTAATATTTAGTTTGATTTTTTTCTAGGACTGAATAAATAAACCATTTATAGTGATGTATACACAGATTGTATATCAAAAACTATATCAGGCCAGGCATGGTGGGGCACACCTTTAATTCAGAAGGCAGAGGCAGGTGGAGTTCTGTTAGTTTGAGGCCAGCCTGGTCTATTTAGTGAGACTCTGTCTGAAAACAACCAAAATAACAACAAAAGATGGATGGACAGACTGATGTTCTACTAGGCAGTTAAGAGCCTTTTCTTTTCTCTAGGGTACCTAGGGGCTTGTAATGATAGTATCTGCCTGTAGTGGCATCTACTGACATAAGTCAGGTTCTGTCAGTTGTCACTCCTTGTTGCAGGATTTGGCTCCCAGGCCAATACTGGGAATCGTGCTCCTCCTTCTGACCCCAGCAGACCAGTTAGGTTCAGTCTGTAGTAAACTAGAAAAGCGGGCACTACCCTGGACCTTGTTTCAGTGGGTTCCACTTACATTAGAATACGCTCAAGGACACCTGAGAAGTAGGGTTGGCTTGGGTTGGCTTGGGTTTGGTTTGGTTTGGTTTTTCCCAAGACAAGGTTTCTCTGTGTATCCTGCCTGTTCTGTCTCTGTAGACCAGGCTGGCCTCGAACTCAGAGATCTGCCTGCCTCTGCCTCCGAAGTTCTAGGATTAAAGGTGTTGCTTTGCCGCTGTCCCAGGTATGTGAGAGCTGTAGTGATGGCTCTCTCACGCTTGTCTTTTCCTGCAGAAATGCTGCTCATGGCTTCTCCCTGATCCAGGTGGACAACACAAAGGTCACCATGAAGGAGATCCTTCTAAAGGCAGTGAAACGACGAAAAGGATCCCAGAGAATTTCAGGTGGGTTAGTTAAATTATACCATGGCAATAGAAGCTAAGAACTTAGCTAAAGGGGTGTGCGTGCGTGCATGTGTATGTGTGTGTGTGTGTGTGTGTGGAGGGAGTGTTGGTTGTCTGGCTGTGTTGTTTTGGCTATCCTTTCTAGAAGGCTGATTAGCAGGCCTACAGTTTGGGGGGGTGGGGAATGACTTTTTAAGGCTTCCTTTGGGCCTTAGAAGGAACTGGGTCAATGGCATATGTAAGAAGAGCATGTTCAAATCAATTATGGGCAGTCCATCATTAATAATTTGTGGTAAATTAAGACAGAGCTATTTGTGTTTGCCATTAGTTAATGTAAACCTGTCTTAAAATCTAGACGAAGGAGTTAGAGACATAGCTTAGTGGCAGAGTGCTTGCCTAGCACTCTGTGCATGGTCCTGGCTTCTGTCCCCAGCACCACACAGAATCAAAACAAAGTCTGAAACTTGAATCACTGTTTCTAGTTTCATGTTTTCACACATTTTTGCATGAAAGTAATTTTAATTACTAGAATTCAGGATATGGGGGATAGGAGGACATTCTCTTCATTTTTACTAAATGAGGGCAATCTTACAAAGATAAATTTTTAAAAGTTTTAAAAAGATAAATTGATATACCCATGTAGCTGTTAATCTCTACCTCCTCATTAATCAACTCTTGTGTCGAAAATAGACTTGTGCTATTAGATGTATATATAAAAGATATAGAACACAAATATCACTATTAAGAAACAGTTATCCTCCCCACCCCACTCTCAAAAAAGGTAGCAGCCTAGACAGAAAGTCACCAAAGAGAATGCTTAAAAATTGTGCTTCGCATACTGAAGTGTAGCTCTCCACAGTCGATGTGGTTGGGGGGCGGTGGAGAAGGACTCAGTTTTCTTTAAGGGACTGAGCACCAGGAGTTTGACCATGCTCCAGTAAGTATATGGGCAGCACAAATTGGACTAGTATTTTTCCCTCTTTTTTTATTTTTATTTATTTATTTATTTATTTAATTTTTTGCGGGGACGGGGTCACTTGAGACCTGGGAGGACTGGGAAGTGAGTGTGCTCAAGGTTCATGATCTGAAATTTCCAAGTAATCAATAAAAATATTATGAAAAAAAGAAACAGTTATTCTCAAAAATAATTCAAGATTTATCTATAACGGACTGCTATACTACAGTCAGCACGTATATGACAAGTCAAGTAAGTATCTTAGCTTTGTAAGTGAAGAGACTTCTTAAACACCTTTGAGCTCACCTTTTGGAAAGGAAAAGGGCATTTCACAGCTTGAAGAAAATAGTTGTGTTCTCTTTTTAAGGGGAGGCATATAATCTGTTCCAGATTTAATTAGCTATCTTCAGATGAAAGCTGAAGTTTTAATAAAAGTTAGAAGAGATAACACAGTGAAGGACACGGATGAGCTGTCTCAAGGCCATATTCCAGGGGAACGATAAGAGCTGTAAAAAATGGCAAAGGAGAGCAATTGAATGGAGCAATGAAAATCTGATTCTCATAAAAAAGAGAGAGAGAGAGAGATGCTGGTAGGGGCGGTTGTAGATGAGACCTGCTAGCGTCTGCAAGCAATTTGGATGCTTGCCAGGAGTCATTGTTCACCCTCGGCTGTGGCGGCTCCGTCCAGATGTGCCAACTGCACGTTTCGGCTTTTGCCAGCTGACTGCGCCGTTTGATAACCAGCTCTCTGGATGCCCATCACTGGCCGCAGAGATAGAATTAAATGATGATGATCTTCCCACAAGTTGGGAGAGGAAACAATGCATATAAATCTTGATTTCATCTCAGCGTGAGAAGTCTTTATCCATCATCACTCATAATGAACAAGTCGTTAGCTGGGATGAATGGTGTTCTGCTTTTTCCAAACACCTCTTTTGTTCATTTTTTGGGTGACTTTTATCTATTGCATGGGGGTCAAACCTCTTTGCATTTAGGGGATGATTGAAGAGGCACAGCCTCTCTGTCCCAGGGGAGCGTAGATGTTTTGGGGGTTCCAGGTGCCAATCTAATAGCTTTTAAATAGCTTCATATACTCAAGGGTATTTAATGAGTACTCACTCTGTAGAATTGGGGGTCTTTGCTCTCTACATTTTTTACATAATAGTGAGTTTTGTAATATAATTCTTTATATTCTGAGAATGCATTGTTTTGAGCTGTTTAGGAAGGGGTGGAAATTTTATTTAGTCTTCTCAATAGAAAGTGTGCTGCCAGTGATTTTTTTTTTTTAAAGTCTGTGAAGCCCCAATAAACTTAGGGAATACAGCTAGGCCAATGTCCTTTCTTCTGTCTCCAGCTAACACTTTCCAGTCTTATATTTGTTTATCTATGTCTGTCCCCAACATCCCATTGTACGTGCACACAAACATGCACACACGTGTTCTTCCTTGTGCTCACTTTTGTCTACACACCCCTGCCATTTTCATTTGTCTTTGCCATATCCTTGATAAAAGCTTGAGATTTGTTATCCAAATCACAGTGATCTGTATTATTTATTCCTATTCATGCTACTGAAGTCAATTGAGAATTATATATTTACATAAATTCCTGTCCATTTCTTAAGTCAAGAACATTTTAAAATAAACATTTTTAATTGCTTTAAGAGCATGTTCTCACAAGTAGAAGGGTCACACCAGGTTGGCAACCATTTATTTAGGGTTAGCACAGAAGAGATGACATTGATGTTGTGGTTTCAGGTATGTTACAGTCACTCTGTACTGGGGAGTGAGGAGGTTTTTGGTGGTGACTAAGGAAAAGAAGAAAAACCTCTTTAACAGAGAGGGAGATACAAGGAGACCATGGGAGTATGCCCTGAAGGCTGATAAGGCTGGTGTGCTGAGCACTCTCCTCAGACTGCCTGGGGGGAGGGCTACCTTGTCACTTACCACTGTTGTGTCGCTCAAGTTAGAAGCAAGGGAGAGACACTTGAAATTGAGCAAATGTGAAAGATGGTGTCGAGTCTGATGAGGCCCGTCAGAGAACAGACTTGAGGAATGCTTGGCACCTTCCACACACGCCTAGCTCCTCTCAGCTTTCTAGCCTGACCATACAGCTTCATTTAATACCAGCAACAAGTGGGGAGTTGGAATGATCCCATTACTAAATCAAGTTTGGACTTAATGACAGTCTAATACTACCTAATACTCTCGTATTTTTTTTTAAAGAAAAACAATATTGAGAAAAAAAAAACAACAAAACAAAGCCCATCCAATCTCTGTTTGTATGGGACTTTGTGAATGAAGACCTTTGGGACTTTGAAATAATTTGTAATGACTATTGATGAACACTGCAGGGGTCTGGTTGCTATCCATGTACTTAACTAGAGTGGTCCTTTCACAATAGTCCAGTCTCTGATAAGGCACATTCTTAAAGCCGATTTTTAAATGTCTCTTTCAGAGTTGTTCATTTTATCACTGACCTGCTTGACATTTGGAATTTCCTTGAAGCAGCAGAAGTGTGCTGTTAAAAATAATAATAATAAGTAGATAATCCAGTTCTAGAATAATTCAACAAAACTTGTTTACTGATTTTAACAGTTTAGTGGTAGAGTTTTTGACACAGAGAAGATAGATGACTGTCCGATCCATAGATTTAGCCAGTAAAATACATTTAAAGGATGAAGGCCATAGGTGTTCAGTTTCTCCCCTTGTCAGGGTCACCCTTATTATTGTGACCTTGAGCTTCCTGGTATTTTGTGTACTGTTGTGCCTTAATGCTTTTGTCCACCAGCTGTCACCAGTCTCCTGTTGCATGTTGGTGTGGCAGAGATGCTGCTGAGAAACGGAAGCATCTCAGTTCCAGCTTCACACAGACACAGTCTAGAAGAGGCCGACTTGAAGTAGGATTTTCCCAGCAGTTCGAGATCTGTGTGGCTCTGATTCTTGGTGCTGTCTCCTTTTGAAGGGGAGTCACTTTTCTGTTATCTGCTAAAAGGAGCAGAAAGCTCAACAACCCATTCTTGACTTTTGAAGTGTAGACATACTTGATTAGTTTGATTTTTTTTTTTTTTTGGTTTTACAGTAGTAATTGCGTTTTGATGTTCATTAATGCTTGTCTCAGAAAATTTCACCTAGAGAAGTGTTAGCTTTGCCACGGAGCTCCTTCAGCCTCTTTGTTGAGAGTCACAGAGACAGACTCACCTGCTAGTTTCCTGTGCTTCACTTACTGCTTCTCAAGCAGTATTCCCTGAAGTGCACTGGGAGGGTACAGTGGTGGTGGAGGTAAAAAGCAGCCACAGATGGTACAGGGGATTCTGTGTGACAGACAGATGATCCTTTATTGGGTTCTTCGGTTCTCCATTAAGAATTCATATACAACCTGAATGTTGACCCAGAGTGCACTGGTATTGTGAATGTGTCTATTCATCATACTCCTCTATTCGTTAGCCATGGCCTGAGTTCAAGGAGACAGTGGTGCAACTAGATGCTTGCCAAGGATAACCTTATTAACCTCTAGGGGGGAAGGAGACATAACAGGTGGAGAGTAAAAAGAACACAGGCAGAGGAGTTCATTGCATCACCCAGGGAGGGTGTTCAGGGACTTGCCCTTCCCTAAGAAATGGACATGTGAACAGAGTACTTTGTACACTGTGGGTGCTTCGGTTGGGAGGGCACTGCAAGCAAAGGAGTTGCTTACCCTGTTTCTCTCTAAAAAGAACCTTCCAGTTTACTGTGCTATTTAACTGACTTAACTGAAGTCGTAGTAGAGTTGACCCCGAAGAGACATACAACATGTGCTCACACAGTCAACAGTGCCATCATCCACCTAAGTCACAGAGCCACGCCCAGTCATCCATCTTGGATTTTCCCATGCCGGCTCTTCATACTATGACCATTAGCAAGACAGGTGAGCTTTTCTTCTAGAGCATATCCTGGATCTGTCCTGGTCACTGCACTGTGGCCTTTCACCTGGAGCCCTGGCATAAACACCTGCTTGGTTGGCTTTCCTGCCACTGTTCTTAGCCCTTCTAGCCTGTGGTCTACACAGC